GAGTACAGCTCACTTCCCTGCTCCCGCTGGCCACACTGTTCTTGATGCAGGCCAGGATGCCATTGGCCTTCTTGGCCACCTGGGCACACTGCTGGCTCATGTTCAGCCTCCTGTCGATCAGCACCCCCAGGTCCCTTTCCACCTGGCTGCTCTCCAGCCACTCTGTGCCCAGCCTGTAGCGCTGCAGGGGGTTGTTGTGGCCAAAGTGCAGGACCCGGCACTTGGCCTTGAACCTCATCCCATTGGAATCAGCCCATCTCTCCAGCCTGTCCAGATCCCTCTGCAGAGCCCTCCTGCCTTCCGGCAGGTCAACACTCCCTCCCAACTTGGTGTCGTCTGCAAATTTGCTGATGATGGACTCAATCCCCTCATCCAAATCATCGATAAAGATGTTAAAAAGGACTGGGCCCAGCACAAAAAATTAAGATTGACCAAAACCAAATCCTTTATTTCCACAACTGTATAAATGTGCTCCAAGTATGTGTCCAACGCAAGTTAGAAAAACAAAATAGAACAGGCCAGTTGCAAACTAGATCAGTTCACTGACCTGCTGACTCCTTGGTATTAGGTTTAGTTACACAAGACCAGTCACAGTAAAAAGATACATTTTAGAGTACAAAGAGTAGCAGGATGTTAAGCCATTTCAGCTTGTGCACATACAAATCACACTTCTGGCAGAAAATGCAGAGAAGTTTGCATTACTATGCTGGAAGCTGTGTTGTATCACTTTAAATGTGATACAACATCAAAATCAATATCGTCGACTTTATTGTTTGCAGGCTTCACAGTTTCAACTTTAGGTTCACTGGCAGTTGTAGAGTACACCACATCTATGTTTTCATCTTCATCCTCTTCTTCATTACCGGAAGATTCTTCTTCAGCTTCCTTTAGCCATTTAATAAATGGTTCTGCTTTGACACGGATTTCTTTGGCAAGCTCCTTTGAAACGTATTTCTTTGAGGCCTTTTCTGCCCAGCTAAGGATGACTTCTTCTTCCAGAAGATCTGCATCATACATTTCCTTCAAAATATGTGGTATTTTCGAAATAAGCTGAGACTGATGCATGGCTACTACACACTCAAAGCCATGGAGAAGGTACCTCTGAGCTTTCTTGTTGTTGTGGCAGAAATGAAGGAAGTGATGTCTGTATTTTCTTATTTGTTCACGAATCTTTTCATCAAAAAGCACTTCAGTGAGAACTAGTGAGCCCATAGCCTTTACATCCAGTCTCTCTGCTTCTGCTACGTCTTTGTCCAAAGTATCAATGACATCTTCTTCCTTCTTTTTCTTCACAAAATCAAACAATATGTTGACTCTCTCCTCCACGATTCTTTCCAAGTCTTCACTAAGCTTGAGGTTCTTTGCATGGTCACTGATTTCATCCATTCTATGCCTCTGGGCTTCTTCTGTTGTGTCCTCACCCCAGTCATCATCATCCTCCTCCTCCACAACCTGTGGAGGAGTAATCTCCTCTGGTGGAGGGGGCGGAAGTGTCTCATTGCTGGACACAGAACCATTCTCTTTGTCCTTGCCTTTTCTGTTCTTCCTCTCCTTTTCTTTCTTTCCTGTACCAGTGTCACCACTTTCAGGTGGGTTTTTGAGAACGAATGTGCAGAGTTTATGGTTTGTGTCAAGCATGCCTCGATAGCCACAGGCTTTGCAAGGGTTACCTATAGTTTGTTTCTTAGGATTGACATGCAGATCAGTTTCAGGATTCTCACACTCAGGACAGAGAACAAATTTTTTAATGAATCCATCCAACATGTCTGGCAGCTTATTCGCCTCATGAGATCCATTTACAATGTAACAGTCATTCTTAACATCAAACTGGGTCTGTGCTCCCAGCTCACAACCAAAAAATTTGGTAGGATACGTTGGAGGCCGATTAAGCGCCTTTGCAACATCAACCATGTTGACTATAACCGTCTTTATTCCATTTCCTTTGCCCTCCACCTTGGCAATCAGACAGGGCATTTTGTAGTGATAGAACTGATCTGAAACACTGTGGTTGAAGTTGACAGACATTTTGCCTTATTAGTAGCTTTATCAATAAGATGAAGAGATCTTTGATTGCAGTTTTTTGGTATCTTCTGTCTGGAGAAGACGGGGTGACATAAACAACTGCAAGAGTTCTCGGTCTCTGACATGAAAAAATTTTCACCACTGAGGCTGTAAGGTTCTTGCTTGTATGCTATGTTTCCCCAATACAGGTACCAGTGGCTGCGCAACAGCTCGTTTTTGTCCAATAAAGACATAAACCCAACGCTGCTCGCCCCGGGCTGCGACGAAGCCAACTGTGCAAGGAAAACAGGACCGAAGGGGCGCTTATATCCAGGCCGAGAGGGAGGTGGAGGCGGATGCTGCAACCTCCAGGTCCCGGCATCCTGGGGCTGGCGGTATCAGCAGGGAGAGTGGCACCAGGCAATCTCTAGAATGTTCTCACTCCCATGGGTCCTTCCCATGGGCTTCAGTTCTCCATGAATTGTTCCAGTGTGGATCCTTTCCATAGGTTCAGGAGCAGACTGCTCCAGCGTGGATCCTCCATAGAGGTCACAGGTCCTACCTGGAGCCTGCTCTAGCACAGGCTTCCTACTGGATTGCAACATCCTTCTATCATCCACCTGTTCCAGGATCCTCAGGTGGATATATTCTACACAGTGGACCTCCATGGGCTGCAGGGTGACAGATTGCCTCACCATGGTGTTTACATGGACTGCAGGGTAGTCTGCCTGGAGCACCTCCTCTCACTCCTTCTTCACAGATCTTGATGTCGGCAGTGCTGTTTCATTCACATATTTTCACTCCTCTTTTCTCTGGCTGCAGTTGTCATTGTACAGGTTTTTTTCCTCCCATCTTAACAATGTTATCCCAGAAGCACTACCACCATTGCCAATGGAATTAGACCAGTGGTGGGTTTGTCTTGGAGCCAGCTGGCACTAACTCCATCACACATGGGGGGAAGTTTCTAACAGCTTCTCAGAGTACCTCCCACTACTAAAACCTTGCCATACAAACCCAATACACAGGAAAGACAGAAATCTGCAAGGACGTTTTAAATGAATACTGCCAAATTCTGTCATCAAAGAAATTTAGTTTGCCAGTACACTTTAAAGGTCCAGTGATTTTCATACCTACTCAGATAGTGATTTGAACACTTCTGATTAAACAATTCTGCAAAAATATTTGAGCATATATAGTTCTGATTAATTATTATGATTAACTTTTTTGTCTGTGTGTGCATAGGGCTGTTTAACATGTATAAAGTAATATCAGTCAAAATTTTCATTTCGGTATCCAAGTGATGAACAAAATCATTAAATAAGGGGACAGATAGAGCTTGCAGGTATTTTTTTACTTTTCAATCTGTGTAAAAATTTTACAGAAGCATTTAAGTTCTTTGTTCTTCGGGCCACTTTTAATAAATTTATGGAAATTAATATATTGCATGTACCATTATTTGCATGGAATCTTGTCAGTTAATAATTTCAACTGGTGACATTGTTCTTGTGGTAAATTATCTGTGAGCAAAGAAATTATCCACTTACTAAAAACAAGGTTTCTGCATAAATGGATTGAATGGCCATACTTTATTTTCTTATGAGTTAAAGATTGCACTTAGAACTATTTTTAAACTCAAAATGGAGTATAATTTGGCATTTTTAATGCAGCAATTTTAATAAAAGTAGAAAAAGTAGGATTTTGATCATCAGACAAATTATACACAGCTTCATTCAGGTCTGAAGATTTTATTTCTGTCACAAAATCTTTGATCAGTAATATCACTTGCTTCTGATGATCATATGCTATTATTTACACTTATAAAAAAAAGGGCAAGGAGAGGGAACATGGTACAACTAGACCTCTTGGGAAATCATTTAAACGTATTAAATATTTCATTTCAAATGAAGAAACAATGAACCTGCAATTTTGTCTGTATAGGCCTAAAATATTCCTTATTATGAAAGTTAATTATCTCTTTAGAGTCAAACCTATTCTACTGTCCTCAAATGCCTCTTACTTCTTTATCATACATTTATACTTTAAATAGCTAGCAGTTAATTTTACATTATTTCAGATTATGGTAATATGAAATCTAAACTGTAACATTCATCCTTAAAATTCTAGCTTCTTTCAGAGGCTTTCCCAACCCACAGAACAGACTATGTTTACTTTCTACTTGCTCAGCTTCTTTCAGAGAATCTAGTCTTCTATGCTATTTTTCATTGTTTAGAAAGACATTACGAAATTCTGTAATATATTAATTATTCAGAATTGTCTATTCATTTTCTCAGTCAAATAGCTTTGGTCTGTAGATCACTGAAATTGTAAATATTGTAAGAATGTAAAATTGGAAATAGAATTTGTATACAAGACAGGCAACAGTAACGTAATTAATATCCCAACAAAAGGGAATTCAAATGTTATATGCAATATATTACAATATTCGTTATTTATAATGTGTTATTTACGTAAATCACCTACTGAGATACCAGCAATACTGAACCATGCTTTATAGGCTTTATCAATGTAACATAAATTTTAATATATACATTTTCAGTCAAACACTAAATGAAGGAGTACTTGATCATGTGATCCAAAAAAGTTTGACAAGTCGAACAGAACTACATCCTTGCTACAGAGCTCATCCTTGAGCTTCTAACTGCATGTGATGGTTTTAGTCTAGGCCTTCCTGGTGACCAGTTTGTAACCAAGGAAGTAGCCAAGTACCCAGTATTCCATACAATTTTTATGTAAACCAGAGTATAAATAGGTCGGAGATTAGAGACCTCACTCTCTTCTCTTCCGGCGAGGTTTGGGAACAGTGGGTCCCTGCACTGGTCTCGCTTATCTAAGGCTGAGGCCTGCAGAGTCCACCGTCCTACCACGTGGAGGTTTGGAGAGTGCTGGCCGTGACTGCCGATCCTGCTGTTCTAAGGGACGTGGTGAGATCTGTTTCGTTAGTTGTTAGTATAGTTTGATCTAGTATACCTGTTCGGTGTCCCTTTTGTTCCCTTTTGTCTCCTTTTTTCCCTTTCCCTATCCCTGCAGGGGGTGGACCCCCTTTTACTGTGTATATAGCATCTTAACTGTATATAACTGTAATTTACATAAATATAGATATATTTTTACATAAGCAGCTTGACTTTGGGTTCTTTAATTTTTATAGTTTCTTTTCCTTTAACCAAAGGGAAGAAAGGAGGGGGGAAGGGGGCTGCTGTCGTAACTTTCGGGCATTTGACAGGGAGCCAGGTCCAAACCGTCACACTGCACTACCCTAATACTTATAATCATATAATCAGCAAGGTTGGAACAGACCTCCAAAGTCTCCAAGTCTAACTGTCAGCTTCATGTTCACCTCTAAACCATGTCCTCAAGTGCCACATCTACATGTTTTTTGAACACTTCCAGGGATGGCAACTCCACCACTTCCCTGACAAGTTTATTCTAAAGCTTTACAGCCCTTTCAGTGAAGAAACTTTTCCTGATACTCAATCTAAATTTCTACTGGCACAACTTGAGGTCATTTCCTCTTGTCCTGTCACTTGGGAGAAGAGGCCAACATCCACCTTGCTGCAACTTCCTTTCAAATAGTTGTAGAGAGCAATAAGGCTTCTCCTGAGTCTCCTTTTCTCCAGCCTAAACAAACCCAGCTCCCTCAGCCACTCCTCAGAAGCTCCATTGCCCTTCTCTGGACGTGCCCCAGCACCTCAATGTCTTTCTTGTAGTAAGAGGCCCAGAACTGGACACAGAATTCAAGGTGCAGCCTCAGGTGCCAAATACAGGGGACAATCACTGCCCTGGTCATATTGGCCACACTTTTTCTAATACAGGTCAGGATGCCATTGGCCTTCTTGGCTACCTGGGCACACTGTTGGCTCATAGTGCTGAACAGCACCCCAGGTCCTTTTATGATGCGCAGCTTTTCAGCCACTCTTCTCCAAGCCTGTAGTGCTGCATGGGGTTGTTGTGACCCAAATGAAAGACTTGGCACTTCACCTTACTGAACCTCATACAGTTGGCCTTGGCCCACTGATCCCTGTGCAGAGCCTTCCCACCCTCCAACAGATAAACATTCCTGCCCAACTCAATGTCATCTGCAAACTGCACTCAATCCCCTCATCCAGATCACTGATAAAGATATTAAAGAAACCTGGCCTCAGCTCAGAACCCTGGAGAACACCAGTGGTGACTGTCCCCCAGCTGGAAGTAACTCCCTTCACCAGAATCCTCTGGGCCTGGCCATCCAGCCAACTTTTATTGCTGAAAATAAAGCAACCATCCAAGCCATTGACTGCCAGTGTTCTCCAGGAGAACAGAATACTGTTACTGAAGTCCAGGGAGACACATCCACAGCCTTTCCCTTATCTACTGAGTCACCTTGTGACAGAAGGACACCAGATTGGTAAACAGGACCTGCCATTCCTAAACCCATAGTGGTAGGGCCTGATCCCCTGGTTAATCTGCACATGCTGTGCTCAGTGACTTCCCCAGGCACCAAGGTCATGCTGGTAGGCCTGTAGTTTCCTGGATCCTCCTTTTGGCCCTTATCACATTTGCCAACTTCCAGTCACTTGGGACCTCCCTGGTTATCCAGGACTTGTAAATGATTGAAAAAAGCTTGGCAAGCTCTTCTGCCATCTCCCTTGGTACTCTTGGGTGGATTCCATCCAGCCTCAGACTTGTGCAGGTCTAATGGCACAGCAAGTCACTGATCATTCCCTCCTGGATTATGGGGGATTCATTCTGTTTCCTATGTCTGTTTTACAACTCAGAGGGATGGGTACCTTCAGGACAACTGATCTTACTATTAAAGACCGAGGCAAAGGAGTTAAATACCTCAGTCTTTTTCTCATTCTTTGTCACTGTATTTCTGCCATATCCAATAGAAGACGCTGATTCTCCTTGGCCCTCCCTCCATTTGTTGCTGATGTATTTGTAGAAATACTTTTTGTTGACTTTTACAGGTATGCTCAGATTAAGTTCTATGAGGACTCTGGCCCATCTCATTTTCTCTCTGCATAACCTCACATTCTTTTAGTCTTCCTGAGCTGCAAGACTCTTTTTTCCTTTTTCCTCCTCTCTTTTTACTTCCTTGGTCTTAAGTCAAAGAAGTTAGATTCTTAATCCAAATAAAATGTTAGATCTCTCATGAAACACTACCAAATTTTATAATTCAATTCATATTGATACTCCTAGAAATATTTGATCTAGTCATTTTAATCTTTAAATCCATTTGATATTTTTTAAATAGAAGTGGAATTAAAAGTTCCAGAAAGTTAATGATAAACTTAAGTATGATATGTTAGAAGACAGAGAAGGGTAGAAAATTCGTAACTTTAGGAGGACTGAAATGCACTATTTTAGAAAGATATTCTGATTTTTTTTAAATTTCTTTCCAAGATGATTTGTATGTCCTCAGATTTATTATTGAAGTGCACTC